CGGGCGTCGGCGTAGGCTCGCATACTGGAAACGTCTCGCGTCACGACGATTCGCTCGTTGCTTGCGGCCCACTCAAGGATACTTCGATCGTCCTTTGCTGCCAACCCAACGTCGTGGACACTCACGATGTCGACCGACGGCACCCGCCTTATGAGCGTTTCTACGACGTATGACTCGACATTCTCGTCAGCCAGAAAAACGTACCAACGTTACGCGGGGGAGCGGGCTCGTTTGCGCAGGCGATGTTGCCAATCGCTGGGCGAACGCCCTTTGGCTTCCATCTCCATACGTCGCTCCTCGTCGCGCTGAACCAGCTCCTTCAAATAGGCGTTCACTTCCGCCTTTCGGCGTAGGCAGTAGCCGATCACGGAGTACACGTCGCCAGTGGTCAACCTGAAGTCCTCAGCTATCTGCTCCGGCGTGCGCGAACGGTGCAGGAACGCTTCGACCACGGTTTTCAGTGTAACCCGCGTTCCGGCGACACGAGCCACGCCATCCTCGTCCAGCGTCAGAGGCGGTGGTTCCGGGGCAATATCCAGGTTCATGGACTTCTCTCCTGCTCCTTGGATACTACCACCGATCGCTGTTCGTGGCAACGGAGCGCATTGACTCATCCCTGAATAAGCGATAGATCTTGAGGGGTTGAAAAAAATCCTCCTAAGTGCTGTAATGGGAAGCAAGTAAACAAACCCATACCGGCACCAAGGAGGATGCAATCAGATGCAGAAACAACGATACCATAGCGACCGCTCATGTCAAGGCCGATTCTCCAACCCGCGCTTGGTCGTTCAGGAGCATCGCGGCGCTCCGCTGCTGAACTGCTCAGGCATCCTCATCATACGGCAGCTCATCGAGCGGCTCGGTATCGCGCGGGCGATCAACGCCGGGCTGCGCGTGCTGCGGCGCCACAAGCCGTATGCCGAGTCGGATCACATCCTCACGTTGGTCTACAACCTGCTGACCGGCGGTGAAACGCTCAACGACATCAACCGGCTGGCTGACGATCCGGCGCTGCTACGGGTGCTGGGCACCGAGCAGGTCCCGCATGCGACGACCGTCGGCGACTTTCTGGCACGCTTCAGGCACGAGAAGGATGAGGCGAAGGGCCAGGAGCCGCGCCGGCTGCGCAAGCTGCGGCAGGTGATCGAGACGATCCAACAGGCTGCCTTTGCGTTGCTGCCGCGGCGCAGGCGCACGGTGGCGACCCTGGACTGGGACTCCTCGAATCATGAGGTGTATGGCGAGCAGAAGGAAGGAGCGGACTTCGCCCATGACAAAAAGTGGTGCTACAACGTGCTGTACGCGACGCTGGCCGAGACCGGCGACGTGCTCTATCAGGGGCTACGGGAAGGGTGCACCTACACGAGTGCAGGCACCGCGGAAGTACTGCCGGGGACGATCGAACGGGTCAGCAGGTACTTTCGCAGCGTGCGCATGCGCGCCGACTCAGGCTTCTACGATCAGAAGATCGTCAAGATCTGCGCGGAGCGCGAGGTGGAGTTCTTCATCGTTGCCGAGCAGCGGCGGAATCTGCTGAAGGCCGTGCACGCGATTCCCGACAGCGACTGGAAGTCATTCGAGGGCAAGCACATGCAGCGAGGTGGCGGCAGCGGGAAGCAGCGCAAGCGGCGCGATAACCTGAAGCGCAAGATCACGCTGGCGCGCAAGCCCGACACGTGGTTCAAAGGCAAACCGCAAGTCGCCTCGATCGAGTTTCGACCATCGACATGGAAGCAGTCGTATCGGTACGTGATCAAGCGCACACCGGTCATCGACAAGGACGACCAGCAACTGTGCCTGGACGATGGACTGCGCAAGTACGCCTACTACATCGTGGTGACCAACTCGAAGCGCAGCGACGCGGCGGTGCTGAGCATCGCGCAGGGCCGCGGCAACCAGGAAAACCTGATCAAGGACTTCAAGCACGGACTGGGGCTGTCGCACGTGCCGACGGGAGTGCTGGCGGCCAATCAGGCGTACTTTCTGATCGCTGCGTTGGCGTGGAACCTGAAGACGTGGATGCTGAATCTGTTGCGTCTTGGCGACGGGGCGGTGATGCGGTGCAAGCGGTTTCTGTATCTGTGGATCAACCAAGCGGGGGTGGTGGCCAAGAGCGGGCGCGGACACGGTGGTGCTGAGGTTGCCTCCCGGCGAATACTACCAGCGGTTCGGCACGCTCTGGCGCGGGTCGCCGCGCTCTGAGAAGCTGCTGTTGATGCCGTTGAGAGGGACAGGTATGCCCTGATGGAGTCGCAGACCAGCCGCTATCGCCGCGCATGACAGAATGCCTGGTCTCGTCCTGCCGTTCGGCTGTCTATTCGGTCCCACGTGGTGTCGAAACCACGATACAATGCCGAGAAACCATCCAATCCCGCCCGAAATCTCCCGATTCTCTCACTCGCGTAGCCGGTCCTACGCCTTATCGCTACGGTTTCTGGACTCATCCAAAATCCACTCGAACGCAAGCTGATGCCTCATCGAAACATCCACTCGAACGACGACGCCACGGTGGCGGCGGAGGTCAAAGGAGATGGGGCTCACCATGGAGCAGCAGAAGGCGTTCGCCAGCCAGATGGCCAAGCGCTACCGGCAGGCGTCCAAGAAGAAGAAAGGGCAGATCATCGAGCAGTACATGGGGCTGACCGGCGCCCGGCAGCCGCTGTCGTTCAGCCGCGGCTCAGCGAAAGGGCGACCGGGCCAGGACGCGTGTCCTGCCCGGTCGCCGCATGCGCGAAAGACGGGGCGCTATCCGCCCTCCCCCATCATGTGCGCCCTGACGTCGGTCGTCTTCTCGTACGCCACGATGATGTCGTCGTAGCCGGCGGCGCGCAGATCGGCAAGGTAGGAGTCCCAGGTCTCGTCGATGTTTACCTTGCCCGTGATCGCCTCGACCATGTACGTCTGGGCGATGACGTGTTGCTCCGGCAGGTACTTGGCGAGCACGTCGCTGATATCGGTCGCGTTGAAGATGTCGAAACGTCCGAAGATCGCCATCTGATCCCGCTGGTTGGCCTCCAGGTACTCATTGAAGCCCTTGTAGGTGGGTTTCCACCCCAACCGCTCGCGATCCAGCAGGCCCCACACGGCGTCGAACCCGGCCACGCCTTCCTTGTAGGGGTCGTCGTACTCCTTGCCGGGGATCGCCGAGATCGCCGAGTTGAAGGGCTCGCCCGCCCAGTCGAAGTGCCTTCCCGGCTCACCGAAGTAGGCGTAGACGCTCAGCTCCGGATCGAGATTGATGTCGTCGATCATCCACAGAATGCGCGCCAGCTTGTCGTCCTGTACGTGCGCACCGACGAAGGTGAAGTAGGCGTTGGTGAAGTAGCTTCCCCGGGCAACGCTGCCGCGGTACTGGCTCTTGCGGTTGCTCCCCACGGTGAAGGGGGTCAACATCAGCTTCGCAGTCGGTATGGACTCCAGCACGTTCATGGGAGCCCGTCCCATGAAGGACTTGTTGGCCGGATCGGCGTACACGATTCCCGCGTCCTGGGCCCCGAACATGCCGGCGGCCCACTTCTGATGGCCCGTGAGGGTGCTCTGCCCGGTGATCGCGTCCGGGTCGATGGCTCCCGCGTCGTACAGGTCCGTCATGTACTGCACGTAGGACCTGAAGCCATCGGTGGCGTACCACATCTTCAGCTCGCCGTTCTCGTAGTGGTTGTAGTCGTCTCCGAACTTGCCGATCGTGCCGAAGGCGCCCAGCACCGAGTCGATCAACAGCGTCGAGATCCCGAAGGTATCCTGCTCGCCGTTCCCGTCCGGGTCGTTCTGCGCGAAGGCGATCATGATGTCCTTGAACTGATCCAGCGTGAACGGCTCCGTGGTGTAGTAGAGCCTGTCGGCCGTGTTCACCAGCTCGCCGTTGGGCTCGATGCCGACCGCCTCCAGCCAGTCCAGGCGGTACCAGTTGGAGTGGGCCGGAAAGTCCCGCTCCCGCAGCGCCCCGAAGCCGATGTAGGCGCCGGCATCGTCCGGGGCCACGTTGAAGTTCCAGCCGTTGTACTGATCGAAGGCCACCGCGACCTTCGGCGCGTACTCCTCGATCATGTCGCGCGGAATCGAGCGGATCATTCCCTGTCGTACGCGCGGTTGTGATCCAGCCGCACGACGCCGGTGTCTGGCAGGTCGTTCGCCGCCGCCAGCAGATAGAACTTCTCCGCGTCCTTGTAGTTCATGAGGGAGGGCTCTATCAGGTCGACGTTGAAGCGCTCCTCCAGGATCTGATGCAGAAAGCTCCCCTCCGGGAATCCCCTGTCATGGGTTCGGCCCAGCCAGGTGATCTGCATGACCTCGTCCTCGGCAGCCTGCGGCTGCGCGGCCATGGTTCCCGACGCAAAGACGCCGATCGCCGAAAGAGACGCCAGCGCGAGCACGGCGACCCCTCTTCTGACCATATGATTCATTCCGTTTATCTCTCTTTGGCTTGTACTCATGAGCCCTGATGGCGCGCCCCGTTCCGGTAGCGCCCCAGGTCTCTCATCGATATGAATCCGCTCGTCGCCGCGCGCTGACGCGGCCGGCGGCAGACTCATCCCTTCAAGGACCCGATCATCACCCCCTTTACGAAGTATTTCTGCAAGAACGGGTACAGCAGAACGATAGGACCGATCGTGAGAATCATGGTCGCCGCAACGACGTTGGCGGAGTTGATCTCCGCCTCGGTCTGCAGCACGTAGTCGTTGAGCACCTGCTCGTCCTGGCGATAATGCTCGATGAGTCGCTGCAGCAAGGACTGCAGCACGAGAAACCTGTTCCCGCTCAGGTAGATGCGGGCGTAGAACCATTCGTTCCAGTGAGCCACGGCCACCCACAGAGCCACCGTGGCCAGCAGCGGCTTCGACAGGGGCACCATGATGCGGAACAGGATGTACGGGTAGCCGGCGCCATCCACGAGCGCAGCCTCCTCCAGTTCTTCGAGATGGGCGGCCATCAGGTAGTTGCGCATGATGATCATGTAGAAGACGTTGAACATCTGCGGGATCACCAGGACCCACAGGTTGTTGATGAACCCCAGCCCACGGATCAACAGGTAGGTCGGAATCAACCCGCCGCTGAAGAACATCGAGAACACGAAGAAGGCGGTGATCGCGGTGCGCCCGGGGAGGCGGCGCTTCGACAGCGGGTAAGCCGCGAACAGACAGGTGATCGTGGTGAGATAGACTGCGGCCACCGTCCGGAAGAGGGTGTTCCGGTAGGCGATCAGGATGAGTCCGCGGTCGAAAATGTATCGGTAGGTGTCGGTGGACCAATGGGTGATCCACAGGCGGAACCCCACGCCGGATATCTCGCGCGGTCCGGAAAAAACGAGAAGAGAAAAGCGTCCCAGAACGGGTAGAGAATCGTCGCCGAGAAGCACAGCATGAAGATGACGTTTGCCGCATCGAAGGCCGCCTCGCCAAGACTTCGCCGTGCCATGCGCGTCCTCACCAGAGGCCATATTCGGTGTAGCGCCGAGCGAGGTAGTTGGCCGAGATCACCAGCATCAGACCCACGACATTCCTGAAGAGCCCCACGGCGGCGGCGTAGTCGTACTTCAGCTCGACCAGCCCGACCCGGTACAGGTAGGTGTCGATGACGTCCGCAACCTTGTACACCAGCGGGTTGTAGAGGTTGAAGACCTGGTCGAACCCGGCGTCGAGGATCTGTCCCATCCGCAGGATCAGGATGATGGTCATCAGCGGGTACAGGGACGGCAGGCTGATGTGCAGGGCCTTCTGCAGACGGCTGGCTCCATCCACTTCGGCGGCCTCATACAGGCTCTGGTCGACCCCCGCCAGCACGGCCAGGTAGATGATCGCCGACCACCCCACGCCTTGCCAGACCGAGCTGCCCACCAGGATGGCCAGAAACCCCGCCTTGTCCGTCAGCAAGCTGAGCGACTGGCCGGTGACGTTGGCGAGGAGCACGCCGATGACTCCCAGCGAGGGCGACAGCAACTGCTTGATGATGCCGCCCAGCACCACCCACGAAATGAAGTGCGGCAGGTAGGAGATCGACTGCATCGTCCGCTTGAAGGGGAGGCTCATGAGCTGGTCGATCAGGAGCGCGAAGACGATGCTGGCGGTGAAGCCGAAGGCGAGCTTCAGGAAGCTGATGATGATGGTATTGCGCATGACCCGGTGGAATCCGGGACTCGTGAACAGGAACCGGAAGTGCGCGAAGTCGTTCCATGGGCTCCCGATCACGCCGTGCTTCATGTTGTAGTCCTTGAAGGCCACCAACAGCCCGTACATGGGGGCGTAGTGGAAGATGGCCCAGTGCACCACCGGAACGGCGAGCAGCAGATACAGGAAGCGCATGCGCACCATGCGGCTGCGGGTCTCATCGCCGATCCTCGGCAGGAATCTGCGAGTGCGTGCGTCGGGATGTGCCCGGTCAAGCACCGCCATCAGCGTGCCTCGGCCGGAGCCGGCACGCCGGTCAGCGGCACGGCCGGTCGTGCTGTCACTGCGTGCCTCCTTCCTCCGGCGACGCGCTCAGGACGCTCCATCGTAGCCGGTCCCGCAAGGAGGATCAACAGCGAGAACGACGTGCGGGAGTCGAGGGAGCGGACCGCGGCCCCGCTCGGCCCTACCCGGCCGGCACCGTCATGACGAAGTCAGCCATGAAGCTGAAAGGAGTACAGCCTGGCCTCGCGCATATAGAAACGCAGGCGCACCGCCTTCCCCAGCAGCTCTTGCAGGTCGGACATCCGGCTCCAGGAGATCGGCAGGTCGAACCCGTTCCCGCTTACCCCATGACACTCACGGCAGGTGAAGCCGGGAATCTGCTCACCGCCAGCGGTGACCACTTCCACCTTCAGCAGTCCGCGGCGAGCGTCCGCGTTGACCTGCAGCCGCCGGCCTTCCACGACGAAGGGCTTGGTCATCAGGACGCCCAGCTCATCTCCGGCCGTGCGAGCGACCAGTCGTCCGCGGGGCAATCGCGCCACGCCGACGGCATGCTTCGAGCTTGCAGAGGCGGGCGAGACGTTGTGTGCAGCCCACGTGCCCGGTGTAATAGATGCGCAGCTCGTCGCCATAGGGAATGAGTGGAACGTGGGCACCGGAGATCAGGCCGCCGTCGAAGTCGCCGACGTAGCCCCGCTCCAGGAAGACCGGACGGTTCGCCAGCCGCTCCCAGCGGATCCCGTCTCGGCTGAACGCAAGGTGCAGGTCGAAGGTCTCCGGCTCGTCCGGCGTTCCCGGCAGGCGGCGAATGCCCCACGAGTGGAAGACCTGCAACAGCCCGATGTAGAGCCCCTCGTAGATCGTCACGTCCATGTTGTAGAGCCGCGGTGGGTCCAGCTCATCGGGACGGATCACCACTTCGGGAAGCGACCAGTGAACGAAGTCATCGCTGACACAGCGGGCGATCCTGCGGTTGCAGCCGATGTAGCGGCTCCTGCCCTGGGAGATGCGCAGCGAGCGCATCGGCGTGTAGGGAAACACCTTGAGGTGCCGGTGGACGTAATCTTCGGTCTCCCAGCGCATGACGTAGTCGGACTCGTCCGGAAAACGTGGGCTCGATGTCCGGTCCTTGCACTCGAACTTGTCGTCGGTCTGGAAGTCGTCGATGTAGACGTTGCGGTCGGGGAACCCGAGCTCATCGGGGTCGTACCTGATGTCCAGAGGCAGGACCGTCGGCCGGCAGAACAGCACGTACTTGCCCAGCCGCGCGTCGTACACGAAGGAGTTCCCGCCATCCCGTGAGTTGGGCACCACGGGGGCGCCGCCGGGTGGTCCGTCCAGTGGACGCCGTCCGGAGAGAACGCGGCAAAGACGCGTCCGCCGTTGGAGCTGCGCTTGGTCAGCATCTTGTACCGGCGTGACGGATCCGATTCGTGGCCGTCCTTCAGAACGAACCCGCAGCCTTCGGACTGGAACAGGTTGTTGGCGGCCGACCCCCGGTACTCGATGATGCCCAGGTCCGGACACTCCCAGTGCAGCCCATCCTGCGACACCGCGTACGCACCCCGGTACAGGTAGCTGTGCACGCTGTCCTGGTGGTACCCGGGCGGAAGGTGTCCATGTTCGTGTCGACGAGGGTGTACCAGAGCTTGAAGAGGCGCTCCTCCTCGTCGTACATGACCGACTGCGCGACCACGCTGCAGTCCCCGACCACCGGGTGCGAGTCGATGATCGGATTGCCCAGGTACTTCATCGGCAGCTCCGGAGAGCGCCTGATGTTCCACACGTCGTCCACGACGTAGTCGTCCAGCAAGAGCTGGGTGGAGCATCCGAGGGTCAGAGGTTGTGCGGTCTGCTGTTCGGCCTGGATCATGGTGCGCCTCCCCCGCGGACGCAGCCACGGGAACTCGCCGGCTATGAAGGCTTGCAGTCTATCCGGTATCGCAGGTGTAGCCAATCTCGCGCATCGCCGCATCGAGCGTCCGCACGAACGGAGGGGTAGACAACCAAGTGAATTCCCCCTATCACGGTGTGCGCAACTTCCCGATTGCAAGAAGGAGATTACGACAGATGGCCACAGAAAATCAGAGACGCGTCGAACCCTATCCCGATCCGCCGATGGAACGGCAACGGCTCCTCCTGGAAACCTATGAGTATCGCATGCCGTTCAACTACCCGAACGTAGCGGTCAACCGGCTCTATCTGAAGGGCATGGAGTTCCACGGCGTGGAGATGAATCCGATCAACTCGATCGGTGTGGACCAGGAGCACCTGCCCCCGGACAACATCACGATAGAAGAGGACGAGCCGATCGTCCGCGTGGTCGTGATCGGATCGGCGTGCACGCCGCCGGGCTGGGTGCAGGTCGAGGCCTTCCCGACCGCCGACTTCCACAAGCCGGTCGACGTTCCTGGAACCGCGGCTACCAGGTTTCGCATCAACAACCTCTGGGGCACCCACCTGCGCTACGATGCATGGGCGGTGGAGTCAGGCGACGACATCAAGGACAGCCGGGGCCGCAGCTTCGATCCGCTGCCGGAGGCGCGCAAGGCGATCCGCCCCGGTCTGCGCAAGTACGACATCAAGGCGCATTATCGCGAGAATCCGCTGGTCGGAATGAGCTGCGCGATCTTCGAGATCCCCCAGTCCACCAGAGTGAGCATCACCGGCGGATCCGAGATCTGTGCGTGGAGCGATGACGACTTTCCGGATGACGTCCATTACTCCTTCACGATCATTCGCACGACATTGGCCGTGGGAGGATAGGCGGCGAGGCACGCCGGGCGCTCTCCAGCTCGAAACGGGAGAACACCGCGCGTCCCGGCTCACCCTTCGCCGAGTAGGCGCTCGCGAACACGCCGACATCCTGAGCGGCCGCGGCCGAGCTCACCTGAAACACCTGTCCCGCGCGCCACAGCGTTCCATCAAGACTGGTGCAGGCGGCGTAACGGTCCCCCGTACGCCTGATGCGAAACCAGATGGGATACTGGACGGGGAACCCATCCTTGGTGTCCAGCACGCCGTCGCCGTCGAGATCGGCCCCCCAGTAGGGAAGACCTCCATACTTCGGGCAGACGCAGAGCATCAGGTAGCCCGCGCTGACGGGCGTCCGGGTCGATGCGGTTTCTCACGATCAATCCGGCGGCTGCATACGGTCCGCTCGGATCCTGGCTCTCCAGGAGTACGGATACGACGAAATCGCCGCGCACCCGGGTGTAGGCGCTGGCGAATTCCGCGCCGGTGGCGTCCCAGGCGGTGGTCAACCCGCCACCGCCGTCACCTCGATGCGCCGGCCACAGCGGGCGAACTGGGCCGGGGTGTTGTTGAAGGTCAGCCAGGGCCACTCCCAGGCCGCCTATCCTGGCGTGCCCTGCCTCCTCACCGGGCACGATGGAGAGTGCGACCTCACGCTCCTCACCCGCGTCGAGCCTGACGGTGCTGGCGCACCGCCGGACCCCATCTACCTCGAGCGGCACCTCGACCGACCCGCTCTCCCCACCGACGTTACGGACCACGATGATGAAGGTTCGCCGGCCGCCGGTCCCGGGCACCACCCGCACCGGCTCCAGGAATTGAAAGCTCGCCGGAGTGGCGGCGATCCGGGTCGTGGCCACGCAGTCGGCCACCCGAACCTCGTGGAGGCCGCCTGCGTAGAGGCGCTCCGTACGGAATCGCACCGTCCGCGACTCGCCCTCACCCAGCCACAGCCACCGGCCGCCGGCCTGCATGCCGTCCACGGTCGCGGTGGTCTTCACGAATCCGGCCCGGCCCTCGTTCGAGAGAGCTACCGACAGGGACAGCTCCCGGCCGGATCAGCCATCTGCGGCACCTGCAATTCGGAGTAACGGCATGGCCCTCCCGCCGGCACGATTGCGCCGGCCGGAACCCCGTCGGCGACTGCCGCCGCGTCCGCACCCCCTCTGCCGGCAAGTCCGGCCAGGTCCACGGCGGCGCAGGACTCCCCCTCCACGCCCACCAGCGGCCCGGCAACCGCCGCTGCATTGCAGTCAGCCAGGCGCACGTCCCGGGAATCCCGGACCAGGACCAGCGGGCCCGTACCGGCGCCATCCACGTGCAGTCCCTCAGCCGTCAGCCGCCGCGAGTCCTGGAACAGCAGACCCGCCCCCCCTCCTGCCTCCTGGCTGATGCGCACGTTCTGCAGGCTCAGGCCATCCACGAACCGGCCGTGCAGCCACGGCGTTCCATCCCGGAGGGTCCTCCAGCGTGACGTCGCGCAGCGTGATGTTGCGGATCGGCGCGTCCGCCAGGCCGTGCACCCGTGAAGGCGCGCTCACCCCTGCGATATGGATTCGCTGGAATCGGAGTCCATCGATGACGCACTGGCTGACGTCCATCGACGTGAGGTCCAGCAGGCCGGCTACCTGAGCCCCGCGGATGTCGTGCACGTGGACGCCCTCGATGGCGCGGCGCAGCGTCTCGGGATAGTCAGGACGCATCATCTGCACACAGAACACGCGCCGGTGCTCTCCAGCCGACAGTCAGCTATTTCGATGTTCTGGAAGACTCCGTGCGTCCCGGTACCGATCTTGAACGCCGGGTGGGTCGTGTTGCGGATGCACACGCGGCGTATCCTGATGTCGCGTGACACGAATCCGCACTCCGGACGCGTCGCGAACTCGTAGCGGTGGCTGTCGTTCTTCAGACAGACCGGATCGTCCCCGCTGCCATCCACCGTGACGTCCTCTATGAGCACGTCCTGGCAGCAACACGGGTTCAGCCCATCGGCGAAGCTGTCGAGGATGTGCACGCCGGCCACCGTGACGTGTCGGCAGCCCCAGAAGGTGACCGCCCATCCGGGCGAGTCGACGACTTTGATCCCCTCGACGCGAAGGTTCCGGCAGTTCTCGAATATCAACGGAAGCGGACCCCGATGCCCGCCGTCCAGGGCCAGGTTGCCGTCGATCGTGCCGCTGCCCAGGATATGGACGTCGCTGGCACCGATCGCGTGGATGAACGCGAACCGCGAGCTGGTGTGATGCACGTAGCTGTCCGGCGAGGGGGAAACGAAGTCCTGCATGCTGCGGCTGGCGACCAGTGAGGCCCCGGCTTCCAGGTGCAGCGAGACGCCGCTTCGGAGCATCAGGCTGCCCGACAGGTACGCTCCGGCCGGTATGCGCACCTGACCGTTGCAGCGGCTCGCAGCGTCGATCGCCGCCTGGATCGCCGCAGTGTCCAGTGTCTGCCGGTTCCCGACGGCGCCGAAGTCACGCACGTTGCAGGTGGTCATGAGTGGAAGCCCAACCTACCCGTCAATCGAAGCGTGATGCTACGCTAGGCGTTGGGGAACCCCCGCCAAGGGCGAAGCTACATGGCATCCCAGATTACGACGACCGTCATCGGCAGCCTGCCGAGGCCCGCCTGGCTGGTCCAGGATGACAACATCCGGCTCTGGCGACTCGGTGGCGAGGCTCTGCGGCAGGGGAAGGATGACGCGGCCCGTTTGGCGATCCGCGATCAGGAAATCGCAGGCATCGATGTGATCACCGACGGCGAACAGCGCCGCATGCACTACATCAGCCGGTTCGTTTCTTCACTGTCGGGGATAGACACGCAGCGATCGAACTATGCCGACGTGGAGGAGGGGACCGTGAACAGAGCCTCTCCCATCGTGACGGGTGACGTGAGTCGGAAGCACGCACACGCGCTGGAAGACCTGCGTTTCCTGAAGGCTCACACCGATCGGCGCGTGAAGATGACCATGCCCGGTCCGATGACGGCGATGTACTGGCTCACGAACGAGCACTACGCCTCCGAGGCGGACCTGGGCATGGCGATGGCGAGGGCTCTGCACGAGGAGATGCTGGACCTTCAGGCGGAAGGATGCGACGTGATCCAGCTCGATGAACCGCAGGCGATCCAGCGTCCTGACGCCTTTCGAGAATGGGGGCGCGCGGCCCTCGACCTCGCCTTCGAGGGGATCGAAACGACGACGTGCGTTCACTTCTGTCTCGGCTTTCCGCCCGTCAGCGAGACTCCGACGGTGCGGGACGCGGAGCGGGTCGAAACCCTCGCCAGCATGCTCCCCGACATCGGTTCGTGTCGGGCTCGACAATTCGCCTTCGAGTGCGCCGGCAGCCGCATCGAGCCCGAATTCTTCGCCGGACTTCCGGACGACAAGCAGATCGTCTTCGGTCTCGTGGACGTCGGCTGCACCGCGGTCGAAGATCCTGGGCGCATTGCAGAAAAGATCGGACGCTCTGTCAGTGTTCTGGGCAGGGACCGGGTGTGGGCGGCACCCGATTGCGGGCTCGTCTGGCTTCCGATCGACACCGCCAGAGAGAAGCTCCGCGTCTTGGCGGAGGGCGCCAAGCTGGCATCCTGATGACCCGCTTCCGCCAATACAGTCCGGAGTGGCAGCTCCCGAACGGGCCGCCGCAAGCCCCGCGCCTCTACGAGGCCGAAGAGCTGTGCGCCGTGGGTCCGGAGAAACCCGGCCCGCTGACCGTCTACGGGTGAACGGAGCGCAAAACAGCGCGGGCGTTGACGACGGTTCGCTCAAGTTGCCTGCGCAGGCTCCGGGACAGCTTCGTCATCCTCACCCTCCGATGCTTTGCTCATCAGGGTGCTGATGAGGCGCCGGGCATATGGGGAAGCCAGGGTCACCTTCTCCGGGTCGAGCTGCCCGAGAAGCTGGAACGAATGTCTTCCCTTGTCGTACCTGCCCTTTGGCCTGCACTGACGGGTTGCGTTCTCGATGGCATCGAGGAGTCGCTTCTTCGGAACATTCTCGATATCGATCCGTCCCGGAAGCGCACTCGCGTGAAAACCGGTGCCGAAGAATCCGGCCAACGTCTCCCTGTCCGCGAGAAACCATGCTTCTATGCACTGCACCATGAGATGAACATTGTCGTCGGCGACGCCCTCTGGCGGCTCCCATCGGTCGCGGCTCTTCAGGTAAGACCAGACGCCGATACCCTCGGAAGTCGGGCCTTCGCTATCACTCCGAGAGTGCGTCCTTTTTCCAGGCGTCTCATGGTCGTCTGTCCCTCTTTCTTCTCACAGACCACCACACTCTCGGGGACATCGGTCAATGCATCGACAAGGACGTCCGAATGAGTGGTGACGATCAACTGGCATCGCTCAGACGCTTCGCGCAACAGCTCCGCGAGACCCGGAAGGATATCGGGGTGCAGGCCCAGTTCCGGTTCCTCCAGACATACGAGCGGTGGAGGATTCCGGTGGCAGAGGATGGTCAACAAGGAAAGGTAGCGCAGCGTACCGTCCGATAGCCGCGTGGCGGGGATGGTCAGCTTCCCTTCCTGCAAGAACACCTGAACGGTTTCCGAACTCGATGTTGACGTGGAAATCCGCCACGCCTTCGTAGAGACCTCGCAGGGCTGCGACGATCTGCTGCCGTGCCTCATAGTCCCGCATCAGACGGTTCAACACCAACCCCAGGTTGCGGGCGTCCTCGGAAAGAAAGTCGTTCGGCAGATCCGGCTTCTGCGGCACGCGCGCAGGGCTGTGCCTCCCGAACGACCATTCCCGGAACAGGCTGACCCGAGCCATCTCGCTGGCCACGTACGTGATCTGCGGATAGATTTCAGGGTCCCTCAAATGCGTGAGTATCGACTGCTGGGCGTTCATTGGCCCTATTCGAACCGCATCGAGAGCTTCCTTCGACCCCCGGTCGCATCGGATTACGGATGCCTCGACGCCGTCGGAGTCGACGTACACGCGCGGTTGGCTTTCGCGGTCGCCCGGTTCGCTCTCAAGCCGCTCGTCGATCAACCGAAACTGTTGGTCGGGGGCGGCGAACGCAAGGCGATAGCGGAGTGGCTCCCGTTGGTCGGAACCGGCAAAAACGATCTCTATCGCGCCGGACGACGCCATCGGCTCGCCCCGCCAAAGCCAATCGGCGCTACCTCCTCCCTCCAGAATCGGCGTGACCAACTCCTTCGGAGCCGCCTGCAGCAGTGCGATCGCCTCGATCAGATTGGACTTGCCGGAGCCGTTGGGACCAATCAATACGTTGAGTGGCTTGAGCTCCAGCTCCTGCCCGTTCGGGCCGAACGAAAGTACGTTCTTCAGTTTGATTCGTTGGATGAGCATGCGCTTTGGCTTCAGGCTATCATCACGGGCCTTGCCTGAGCTCGGCCGGGAGTATCGCGCATCGATTTCAAGTCCACCGCACCCACGAACTACAGCAACGTAGGGGGAGCCTGCCCGGCGTCAGACGATGGAGGGGGTTCCGCCTCAGCCACTCCAAGCGCGCTTCAGGCAGACCGTGGCTCTCACAGCGTGATCCAGCACAGGTCGCCGTCGCCGTAGCGGCGGTGTGGACCGCCTCCAGCAGGTGGTCGACCGTGACGCCGTCCGAGCGCTCCAGGTCGGCGATCGTGCGTGCCACGCGCGCGATCGAGTGATAGGCGCGCGCGGACAGGCCGAGCTTGTCCACCGCTTCGCGCAGCGCCGTGCGGCCGGCCGTGTCCAGCGGACAGTGGATCTCCACCGCCCCGGCCGGCAGCTCGGCGTTACGCTCCCAGCCCATGGCGCGATAGCGGTGCCGCTGGCGCTCCACCGCCTCCGCGACGCGTGACGCGATCCGGGCGCTGCCTTCCGAAGCCGGCGCCTGCAGGTCTTCCGAGCGCGGCGGCGACACCGGCACGCGCACGTCGATCCGGTCCAGCAGCGCCCCGCCGAGCCGCCGCCAGTAGCGGTGCACGTCGGCGGGCGAGCACAGGCAGACCGCCGCGTCCCGGCCCAGGTTCCCGCACGGGCAGGGGTTGGCCGCGCAGATGAGCTGGAAGCCGGCCGGATAGCGCACCGAGTAGCCGGCCCGCACCACCGTCACCTCCCGCGACTCCAGCGGCTCGCGCAGCGCCTGCAGCAACGCCGTGCGGAACTCCGGCGTCTCGTCGAGAAACAGCACGCCGCCATGCGCCAGCGACACCTCGCCCGGGCGCTGCATGCGGCCGCCGCCGATCAGCCCTTCGAGCGATGCGCTGTGGTGCGGCATCCGGAACGGCGGCCGCGCGATCAGCGACGCGCCCGCGCCCAGGGTGCCGGCCACCGAGTGCACGCGGGTAACCTCCAGCGCCTGCCTGCCACTGAGCGGCGGCAGGATCCCCGGCATGCGCCGCGCCGCCATGGTCTTGCCGCTGCCCGGGGGTCCGAACAGCAACGCGTGGTGGCGGCCCGCGGCGGCGATCTGGAGCGCCCGCTTCAGCCGGTCCTGGCCGCGGAGGTCGGCGAAGTCCCCGACCGCCACATCGGCCGGTGCGGCGTCCGGTGCCGCGCTGCAGCGCCGCTCCGCACCGGCCACGTCTCCGGGCGCACCTCGCGGAGTGTCTTGACCGCTTCGGTGAGCGAATCGACGCCGACGATCGATCCCCGGCCGAGCGCCTGCGCCTCCGCCAGGTTGCTTCGCGGCACCACGAAGCGGTCGATGCCGTGCTCCAACCCGGTGCTGACCGCCGCCAGCGCGCCGTGCACCGGACGGACGTCACCGCGCAGCGTCAGCTCGCCGAGCACCATGATCCCCACTTCATCGTCCCAGGGGACCTGACCGGAGGCGGCGATCACGCCCAGCGCCAGCGGCAGATCGAACGCGGAGCCCCTCTTGGGAACCGCGGCCGGTGACAGGTTGATCAGGATGCGGTCGTCGGGAAACGACAGCCCGCTGTTGCGGATGGCGACGCGGATGCGGTCACGCGCTTCGCGCACCGCGCCGCCGGGCAGGCCGACGATGTCCACCACCGGCATCCCGCGCCGTATGTCCACCTCTGCCGTAACCAGAACGCCCTCCACGCCGATCGGGGCGTGGCAGGCACACACGCGCCAGCATCTGTCCAAGCTCTCCCCCCGGGTGCCGCATCGCGCGGTTCCCGTCACGGCAGAGAGCGCTCGGACCGGCGGCGGCGCTTTAGCGTCGTCCCCTTCGCCCGGCGGCGATCGTCTCGGTGACCAGCCGATCGCAGGCTTCGTTGAGCTCGACGCCGGCGTGGCCGCGCACGCGCCGGAATGCGACGCGGAAGCCGCGCCCCTGCAGCGCCCGCTTCAGGGACTGCAGCTCCTGCCAGAGGTCGCGGTTCTTGACCGGCGACCGTGACTTGGTCTTCCAGCCGTTGGCCTCCCAGCGCGAGATCCACTCGCTGATGCCCCCCTCGACGTAGCGCGAGTCGGTGATGACCGTCACGTCCCCGTCCGCCCGCTCCTGCGCCAACTTGAGGGCTTCGATGACTGCCTGCAGCTCCATGCGGTTGTTGGTGGTGTCGGCCGCGTAGCCCGCGTCGCGCACCTGCCGCCGGCCGTGTCGGCCACGTAGGCCCAGGCGCCGGGAGCCCGGGTTGCCCAGGCAGCCGCCGTCGGTGTGGATGGTCATGAGCGCGCCGCCGGCAGGGTCACGACCGCGCAGGTGCCTTCGCTACCCCGTTCCAGCACGAGCGAGCCGCCGTTGTGCTCGATGAGCACGCGGCTGATGTAGAGGCCGAGCCCGTCGTGGCCCGGTTTGGTCGAGTAGAACGGCTCGAACACGCGCGAGCGTCCCGGTCCGAGGGGGCGGGCTCCCGAATCCTGAACCTCGATCACGGTGTCGTTCCCATGTTCACGAGCACCCATGGTAATCCGTGATCGCGGACGCACGCCCGCTTCTCCTCGGCATTGATCAGCAGCTCGGCCAACGCCCGCGCCAGCTCGGCGGGATCGCAGGCCACGACCAGGTCTCCGCCGTCGGTCAGCTCCACGCGCAATTCGCTGCGCCGCCCGGCGCGCCGGTACGCCGCCGCGAACAGGTCGGACACCTGCACTCCGACCACCGCACCACCGGCCCTGGTACCGTCATCGAGCCGTCGCAGCGCGGCGAGCACGGTCAGCGCCGTCCGGCGAAACCCCCGGATGCTGTCGAGGGCTCCTCGCGGCAGCCGCACCGGAGCGGCGTCCGGTGGCCGGGAACCATCGCGCTCCGCCTCCAGCTCGGACTCCAGAGCATTCAACGCGCCGGCTGCCGCGCTCATCGAACCGCCGAGCGACCGATGCAGCGCGCGGGTCAACACCCGCAGATCCCGCACGCCGCGGGATCCGTCCCCGCTGCCGCGCGCGGGTGCCTGCTCAGGCCCCGCGCCGCCGGTACGATCGAACACGCGCACCAGCCAGGCATGAAGCGCCAGCAGCGCCACGAACAGTGGGCTGAGCACCAGATACGCGGCGACTCGATCTCCCAACTCGTAGCTGTCCACGATCTGCCGCTGCAGGTGATCGCCCACGATCCCGACGAACAGCAACAGCGCCGCGAGGACGATGGCCGCCGCCCAGAACCGGTTGATCGCCCGGCGCTGATCGATGCCCGGGATGTGCCTGGTACCCACAAGGAAGAACGCCGGCAAAGGCAGCAGCAACAGATCGGCGATCGCTCCCGTGGGTGCCGGGAAGCCGCTTGCCGCCGCATGATCGGCTGCGTGAGCCGGGAGGCGCAGCAGCAGGTACGCGGGCAACGACACCAGCACGCCGCCGATCGTCCACAGGATGGGCTCCCGCGTATGCGCCGTCCGTGCGCGGCGGTACGCCCTGAGCAACAGGCCCAGGGCGACCGCCACGGCGACCGCCGTACCCATGTCGGCCACGGTGCCGGCAAGCGCATGGCGCGCCAGCCAGCGCTGATCGCCTGCCGACGCCGCCGAGAAGGTGACGATGTGGAGTGCCGCCATCAGCGCGGGGAATCCCAGGCCGGTCACGCGACGGTGGCGACCCGCAGGCGCCGAGACAAACGACTCTGCGGCAGCGCCAGCACCGCCAGGACCAGCAGCCAGGGGGTAACGTTGCCGCTCTGCGCCACGGCATTGCCGAGTACCGACTCCAAAGAGAACGGCCGCGCGGCCACCGTGACCGCGTAGGTGAAGGCAGCCAGCGCCGCCATCCGGCAGGCAGAACGGTAGGTGACGCCGCGCAGCAGCAGGAAGCCGGCGGAAAGCATCCCTACCGCCACCACCGGGACGAGCACGCGATCGAGCGGACGCACCTGCGCCGCCGCCGCCGCCGGTCGCCGAGGCGGACAACCGGCTCGCCACCGGCGATCAGACGCACCAGGTAGAAGACGGCGACCGCCGCCGCGAGCGTCCCGAATAAGATCAGACGCTGCTGCCGGAGCTCGTCCCTTCGGGACACCTCGCTCAGCACCACCGACTTCATCGCGGAACGCCTGCGTGCCTGCATCTCGAGCCGGCGAGGCGATCAGACCAGCAACGCGCGCCGCCAGCGCTTGGGCCGGAACTTGACATCACGTCCTGAGTGCGCTTACCTCAGGCGCATGGCGGCGTAGCTCAGTTGGTAGAGCAAGCGGCTCATATCCGCTGCGTCAGGGGTTCGGTCCCTTCGCCGCTATTTCCCTTCTTCCGCAACTACGGTTGCCGGCCGTCGGAGGCCTGTGCCGGCAGGTCGTCCTATGCCGGCAGTTCGTCGGCACTGTTCCGGGATTGAATGCCGGCTATGAGGCAGGACGCGCTCCACCGGCCGTGACAGAACTGGGGTTCTGCCGAAACGAATAGCAGGGGCAGGATTCGAACCTGCGACCTCCGGGTTATGAGCCCGACGAGCTGCCAACTGATCTACCCTGCGTCTTCTTGTGCAATTGGTAGGATACTGCGGCGGCAGGCCACCAGTCAAGTAGGGCGCCTCCATGGCACCCCGCCGCAGTTACCGACCGGGCGAGCGGGTCGCGGCTGATGTTCTCAGCGTTTCAGTTGGGTCTGGATCTTGCGCATTTTCTTCAGGCGCTTGCGTTCCATCGCCTTGCGCCGCTTGTTGCGAACCGTCGACGGCTTCTCGAAGTACTCACGCCGTTTCCACTCTCGGACGATCCCTTCCTTCTCGACGATCCGCTTGAATGGTTTCAGTGCCTTCTCGAGAAGCTCCTCTTCACCGACTTGTACGAACGCTATGGCCCTATCCTCCTTCGCGAGCCGCCGGCACGCAGCGCCGACAGTTCCTCGCAAGACCTCCATCATAGCCGGAGACTCGGTCCTGTCAAACCGTCGCAGCCACATCCATCATCGGCACAGGTCGAGCACGACCATGTGCAGCCGGCGCTCGCCGTCCGCATAGCTCGGTTCCCAGCCGGTACACCACGTCCACGAGGTCGCCGGGGACGATCTCGCCTGCGGTGGAGCCGGCGCCCCAGTGCAGCGCCGGCCAGCGATACGCCCCGGCATCGAGCAACAGCTTGCAGTGCTCGGACCCGCGGCCGAACAGGCTCACGTCCGCCACCCGTAGTCCACGCGTCCGGAACACCAGCGGGCCATTGTCCATCCCGGTCGGCTCGACCGCGGTGATGAGCCGATCCAGCTCCGGGGTCAGCTCTTGTGCGGGCAGTTCCGCATCGAGAACCCGTCCCGGCTCATCCCCGCCGCCGGTGTCGCTGCCGGTGCCCGGCAGGCTGGACCAGCGACGGCGCAGCTCCGCCAGGGCGCGTGCCGGTGCCGCGAAGCCCGCGGCGCTCCGGTGGCCGCCGCGCGTCGCGAGCAGGCTGCCCGCCTCCGCCAGGAGCTGCAGCGCATCTGCACCGTCGTCCGGGCTGCGGATCGAACCGCTGATCACTCCGTCATCGTAGGCGACGACCGCCACCGACCGGTGCAGAAAGCGGCTCAGCCGATAGGCGAGCGGGCCCGTCAGTCCGCGCGTCAGTTCCGGGTCGTCGACCACCAGACAGCGCGCGTCGGGATGTGCGCCGGCCAGGCGGCGCGCCGCAGGCACCAGCCGGTTTCCATGCGGCCGACGTCTCTCTTCGTCGGCGTCCATCGAGCTCCATCAGCCGACCCGACAGGTCCGCGCACTCGGCACGCACCCGACTGACAAGCAACTCCACGGCATGGTCGCCCTCGCCGTAGCGTGCCGCGGACCCGATCACGGGGTTGAGCAGCCGGCTGATCTGAGCGGCGGTCGGGGCCGGTGCGGACCGGCCTACCCGAATCCACAGATCCAGCAGCCCGGGGCGGCCGGCCCGTGCCAGCATCCTGAGGCCGCGGGCGGTGATACGTCGATTCTCACCGGTGAGCGGCATGCGATCGGCCAGCGTGCTGAGCGCCGCCAGATCGTACGGCGGCTCGGGAGCGATCCGTCCTTCCCGCCCACCGGTCGCGCCGTGCACCGCTTCCACGAGCTTCAGCGCGACCGCACCCGCAGACATTCGGTCTGCCCCGGCGCCTCCCGCGAGCACGGGGTTGAGCATCAGCACCGTTTCCGGGACACGGTCGAGCGGTGGATGATGATCGACCACGAGGACTGCCAAGCCGATGCGAGCCGCTTCCGCAGCTTCCTCTTCGGCTATCGTGCAATCTACACAGATGACCAGTTGCTCGCCCGCCTCCTGAGCCGAGCGCAGGTCATCCGCGTGCAGTCCGTGGCGGCCTCCCGGCGGGATCCGCCATCGCACCCGTGCGCCCAGGCGCCGCAACAACTCCACCAGGATCGCCGTCGCGGTGATGCCGTCGACATCCGGATCGCCGAACACAATACCCGCTGACCGGCGCAGCGGCAGATGCGCTCCACGGCCGCCTCCATGCCGTCGATCCGCACCGGCAGGACCGGACCGCGGCCCAGAAAGGCCTCCACCGCGACCGGCGCCGTGATCCCCCGCCGCACCAGCACGGCCGCCATGAGCGGGTCCAGGCGGTGCCGGCCGGCCACGGCGCGAACCGTGGAGGCTTCCGCGCCCGGCAGCCTCCAGCCGCGACCCACGTCCCCGGTCACCCGCCGACCAGCTCGGCCGTCTGCAGGGGCCGGTACGTGGCGCCGCCGCCCTGCAGCACCGACTGATACAGCACCAGCGATCGAAACGTGCCGTGCGCCGGCGGAAGGCGCACGCGGCAGAGGCGCTCGCCGGTCTGCCGCGGCACGCGGCGGACGCGCGCCAGGGTGACGTGCGCCAGGAAGGCGGGCGCCAGAAACCGGCGGTCTCCCTGGCCGCCGAGCCGCAAGCGGAGCGTGTCCGCCAGCGTCCGCAGCTCGCCGGCGCCGTCCCGTACGCCGAGACAGACCACGCGCGGCCGCGCCGCGGACGGCAGCAGACCGAGGCCCGTGAGCGTCGCCGGGATCGGCGCCGCCTCGGCGGCGAGCTCCCGGCAGATGCCGCTGAGCCGCCCCACCTCCTGGTCACTCACCTCGCCGATGAAGTTCAGCGTCACGTGAAGGTTCGCCGGGGCGATCATCCGTGCGTCCGGCAACTCCGTGCCCACCGCCGAGCTCCAGGACGCCACGTGTGACAGCGCGCCGTCCGGGGTCGGCAGTCCGAAGAACACACGCGCCATCACAGCATGCCGGCGCCCGCCTGCAGCGCTGCCAGCGGCGCATCCACCGCCCGTTGCACCATGCGATACAGGACGTTGCTCAACCCTCGGTCATCCTGCAGCCGCACGGCAGCGGCGCGAGCCGGGGGGAGCTTTTGCGTGTGACTGAGGTAGGCGCGCGCGCCGGCACTGAACGCCGCGTCGGACAGAGCGGAGCAATCGGCGCAGCGGATGTCGCCATAGCGCTCGGACAGGTAGCCGGCGACTGCCGGAGCCAGCGGCCGGTCGCATGCCGCGCAGCCATGCAGGTCGGGCTGCAGGCCCGCGAGGTGGAGGTAGCGCCAGATGAACTGCGCCGACAGGCCGCGCTGCACCGCCAGGTCGGATGAATGCAGCGCCAGCAGGCAGTCGAGCAGGAGCGCGTACAGATCGGCCGGCTCCGCCGCGCCCGGCGACCTCAGCACCACCTCCGCCCAGAGAGACGCCGCAAAGTAGCGCGGCACACTGGCGCGAATGCCGCCGAAGTCGTCCCGGCACGTGATCTCGGTAATCTTGTAGTGATCCTTGACCGGGTCGCGGTACAGGCGGAGGTCGGCGTTGATGAACAGCAGGGTGGCCAGCCGCAGACGGCTGGTGGTCTTGGCTGCGCCGTACGCCATCGCGCGCACCAGCCCTGCCGAGGGGCTGAGGAACGTGACCAGCCGGTTGATCTCCCCGACCGGCGCCGTGCGCAGAACGAGAGCCGGCGAACTGATGTGACGGCGCGTCAGAGCACGAACCCGAGCGATCCTGGGACCATAGGAAGTTGTCGCGTCAGCGACAAGCTCCTACCTTGCATGCATGCCGCAATTCCCGCCATGGAATATCGTCCCCGCCGCCAGCACACTCCCCAACCGCATGGTACTGCTGCCCCTGACCGGCAAACCGATCTTCCCCGGCATGCTGACGCCTCTGGTGGCATCGCCGGGCGCCCAGACCGCGACCGTCAACGCCGCGCTGGAGCTGGGCGGTTTCCTCGGGCTGGTGCTGACGCGCGACCCGGATGACGACAAGCCGGCGGCCGCCCGAGCGGCTGCACCAGGTGGGGACCGCCGCCAAGGTCGTTCGCAAGATAAACCTGCCCGATGGCGGGTTGAACGTGTTCATCTCCACCATCACCCGCTTCCGGATCGCCAAGATCATGGACCCCGGTCCCCCGCTGGTTGCCGCCACGCAGCACCTCGACGACAGGAACCTGGACAGTGACGAGGTGCACGCCCTGGCACGGGCGTTGATCTCCGAAATGAAGCAGGTATCCGAAGGCAACCCGCTGTTCTCCGAAGAGATGCGGCTGAACATGGTGAACATCGACCAGCCAGGGAAGATCGCGGACTTCCTGGCGTCGATCCTGAACATCGAACGCCAGCAGCAGCAGCACATCCTGGAGCAGCTCGACGTGCGCGAGCGCATGGAGCAGGTGCTGGTCTTCATCAAGAAGGAGCAGGAGCTGCTGAAGATCCAGAAACGGATCCAGGGCGAGCTGGCAGAGAAGATCTCCAAGAGCCAGCGGCAGTACTTCCTGAAGGAGCAACTGAAGGCGATCAAGGCCGAGCTCGGCATGGCGGTCGACGCCAAGAGCGACGAGTACCAGCGCTTCAAGGAGGCCTTCGAGGCCTCCGGCTCGACGGCGAGGTGGCCGAGCGGGTGTCGGACGAGCTGGAGAAGTTCGCGCTCATGGACCCGAGCTCGGCCGAGTTCGTGGTCACGCGCAATTACCTGGAGACGATCGCGACCCTGCCGTGGGCGGATCCGGAGCCGGACCGGATCGACCTGAAGCGCGCCGCGGCCGCGCTCGACGCCGACCACTACGGACTGGACGACGTCAAGGAGCGCACGCTCGAGTACTTGGCCGTGCGCAAGCTCAATCCGTCCAGCCGCGGGTCGATCCTGGGGCTGGTGGGCCCGCCCGGCGTCGGCAAGACCTCGATCGGCCGCTCCATCGCAGCGCCTGGGACGGGAGTTCTTCCGCTTCTCCGTGGGCGGCATGCGTGACGAGGCGGAGATCAAGGGCCACCGCCGTACCTACGTGGGCGCCATGCCGGGCAAGATCATCCAGGGACTGCGCATCGTGAAGACGCGCAACCCGGTGTTCATGATCGACGAGATCGACAAGCTGGGCATGTCGTTCCAGGGCGATCCCTCATCGGCGTTGCTGGAGGTGCTCGACCCCGAACAGAACGCCGCATTCCGCGATCACTATCTCGATCTGCCGTTCAACATCTCCGAAGTGCTGTTCATCGCCACCGCCAACACGCTGGACACGATCCCGGCGCCCCTGCTGGACCGCATGGAGATGATCCACCTGTCCGGTTACATCGACACCGAAAAACTGGAGATCGCGCGCCGATTCATCATTCCCAAGTCGATCGCCCGGGCCGGGCTGCCGCGCGGCTCGGTGCGCTATCGGCGCAACGCGCTGCTGACGATCGCCGACGGCTACGCGCGTGATGCTGGCGTGCGCAATTTCGAGAAGGCGCTGGACAAGATCCATCGCAAGATCGCCCGCACGGTGGTGGAGACGGCCCCGGACCCGGGCGATGGCGCCGGCGCGCCGTTTGTGATCGACCGCGATCAGGTCGGCGACTACCTCGGCAAACCCATCTTCCGCGACCACGATCGGCGCCGCACCATGCGTCCCGGCACCGCGACCGGTCTGGCGTGGACGCCGCTCGGCGGCGCCGTGCTTACCGTGGAGGCGCTGGGCACCAAGGGTCGCGGCGGTTTCAAACTGACCGGGCAACTGGGCGACGTCATGCAGGAGTCGGCCAGCATCGCCTACTCCTGGACACGCCAGGCAGCGCGGCGATCGGCATAGAAGACGCATTCTTCGACGAGCAGCAGATCCACGTGCACATCCCCGCCGGCGCCACCCCGAAGGATGGGCCTTCGGCCGGGATCACCATTGCTGCGGCGTTGCTGTCGCTGGCGAACGGCAAACGGCTGTCCCGCTCGCTGGCCATGACGGCGAGCTGTCGCTGGTCGGCGACGTGCTGCCGATCGGGGGACTCAAGGAGAAGGTGATCGCTGCCAAGCGCAATCGGATTCGTGACATCATCATCCCGCGGGCGAACGAGGTGGACATCGCGGACATTCCCCGAGCGCGTACGGCGCGACATCAGCTTCCATCCGGTCGGCACGATGGAAGAGGTGATCGAGATCGTCTCTTGAGCGGCCGCAGCACCAGGATCCTCCGGGCGATGACGATGGCCCTGGCAGCCGCCGTCACGCTGTCCGCGTGCGCCGGACCGAAGGAGCGGGCGTCGCTGCACGCGGCATTCGGCGTCACGCTGGCAGAGCTGGCTGCGCTGATCGAACCGTTGCCTGAGTCGGTTCGGGGCCGAATCCTCGCCGAGCCGGCCGTGTTCCTGGATCTGATGGCGAAGACGCACAACCAGCCGGCGGACCTGCTGGTGCTGGTCGACAAGCAGCACGCGCTCTCGCAAGACTACCGGCCGCCCGATCTGGTCGATCTGGACAACCGGGGCCTCACGGTCACGCGACCGTCGATGCTGCTGCGGGCGCTCGCCCTGCCCGACCTGGTGGCCATGACGCAGGCGGCGCGCCTGGCCGGCACCGACGTGACCATCTCATCGACCTATCGCTCCTACGCCCGGCAGTCCTTCCTGTTCTCGTCCGCCGTGGAACGCGACGGCCTGGGCAGGCGTCGCGTCTCGTGGCGCGGCCGGGTCACTCGCAGCACCAGCTCGGTACCACCATCGACTTCGGCAGCATCGACCTGGGCTACGGGGAAACGCGCGAGGGGCAGTGGATTATGGCCAACGCGTGGCGCTGCGGTTAAGCTCGGTCCTACCGCAGTGCCGTGGAGGATGGCACGGATACCAGTACGAGCCGTGGCACTTCCGCTACCTGGGACGCGCCGGCACGGAGCTGGAACGTCGCTTCTTCGGCGTCCAGCAAGTGTTCCTCACCCACTACCGCCACCTGATGCCCGCCCTGCAGGCCGGCTCAGCGTCTGCCGAGAACCCGACATCCTTGCGCGTGAGTGAGATCAGGGACGATCCAGTACCTGCGCAGGCAGCTCCACCGAGCCCTGCCTGCGCAGCCGGCACGGCCGTGAGGTGGCGTCGACGACGGTCGACGCCACGGGCAACGCAAGCTCGCCGCCGTCCACAATCAGGTCGACCGACGTGCCGAACGCGGCCACGATCTGGCTCACCCGCGAAAGGCGGCGGGCAGGCCCGACCGGTTGACGCTGGTCGGAGTTCAAGCGGCCGCCCCACGCAGCGGGCCAGGCAGCAGAGGAAAAGGATCGTCCGGGACACGAACCCCCACCGTGCCGCCGCCCGCCGGCACGCGGCCGATACGACTGCGTCAGCGCGCGCGGGGCAGGAAAAACGCAGGAGGCGTTCAGGGCAGACTCCCCGACGCCCACCCCGCAGCGCCACAGCCAGCTCCGATCGGGGATCAGTACCAGGAGCGGGCGATCCTCCGCGCGGCTCTTGGTCCGCCGGATCCTCGCCTCGGCCGCGGGGGCGGCGCCGACGATGCCGTAGATGGTGTCACCGGCCAAGGATCGCAAACGCACGACGTCAGCGTTACGTTCGACAGCAGATCGGCATGATCCTCCGGTGACTCCGGGGGATCACCGTCGCTGCGCGAGCGTTCGAGGAACCTGAGTCGTGCATAGAGCAGCCCTCCTACGGCGATGCCGGCAAGCAGAAACGGCAAGCGGTGTGCCCGCGGCGGGTCGAGCCGCGGCACCACACTGCCCACCTCGTAGAACGGCGGTGGTTCGCTCGTGCCTTGCAGGCGATTACCCGCTCGCCCGGCGCGTACAGGCCGAGATCCCGCGCGTACAGCCTGATCAGATCGGGGCTGGTGGACAGCGCGTCGAACTCGGCCTGCAGACGCTGATTGACCTCCTTCAGCGTCTCCACGTTGCCCTGCAGCGCTTCGCGGTGTTCCTGCATGCGGTCCATCGCGATGGCGACGGTCACCAGGTTCAGGACCGTGTACACGAAGTAGGCCGTGACCGCGCACGACAGACCGCGAAGCATACCCATCTTACCCTCTTGATAGTCGGCACACCGCTGGTCCGCGTTGAGGCTGATGAGGAGCGCGAGCCGCACGAGACCGGCTTCGTTGACAGTGCGGCTCGCGGCCGGATCATACTGAACGGGCCGGTGCGCGGGAAGACGGTCCGCGCGGGGATTGAGGGGTGACGAAGCTGCCAAAAACGCATGCCACAGGGAGCCAATTCGGATGACGCCGGACACGCCCCCGATTCCGCAGCAACCCGCCACGAGCCGCATGGAGTCTGGGTGAAGCGCTGGTCGCTGTCGGCTTCCGACTCCCATCCACGCTCCACGGACACCACCAGCCGCGAGTCGCCAGCGGCCGATCCGCCGGAGCCGGACCTGGAGCTCGAGCAGGCCTCGGACCCGCTGAACAGTCCCGCGGCCCTCCCGGCCCCATCGCCCGCCGCGATGGCCGGGCATCCGCTCCCGGCGGAATCGAGCGAGAGCTGCGTGAACTGCGACGCTGCCATCGCCGACCTTCGACGCGAGGTGCGCGCACTGCGCACCGGTCACGAAGAGCCCCGCTGACGGTGAGCGAGAGCTTCGTTCGCCGTTTCGCAGGCGCGGGGCTGTTCTGCGTGCTGTCACTGACCGCGATCCCGGGCGCACGCATCCTCGTGCTTCGCGAGCGGGCGGGCGCTGAGGCGGCCGCCGCCCTGCGGTTGGCTGCTGACGGAGCGCCTGCCGGTTTCGCCGATCGTATGACGGCTCTGCTGGCGAGCGACCGGCGGTGGCGAGCCCTGGCCTGCTACGCAGCGGACGGCACGCCGCGCTTCGACGCTGTGCGGACGCCGCAGGGAATCCGTCCGGTCACGGCGCCGTTGTCCGCAGCCGGCACCGAGCCAGCGTCACTGGCTACGGTTGCACTGCGAACCGGGGGTGCCGCCGACCACTGCGCGGGACGGTTTCGAGCGCTGAGCGGGGATGCGGTCTACCCGGTCGTCCGAGACACGGCGGTGGCCGCGATTGCGTTGCTTGCGAT